TTTTTTTTTTTTTTAAATTAATTGTGGGTTTAAACTCATCAGATGTGTTTTCATCCATTTCAGTTATTCTTGTTGATGCTCAAATCGTCCCATCTTTGCCAAGTGAGAGCCTCTTTGCCTGCTGAGTCTGTCCTTTCTTCAGGATTGTTTGATGTCTGGTATGACAAGCTGTTTTAGGCTCATCATGTACATGTCTGCTTCCAGTTTGCAACCAGCCTTTTCTCCCAGGAGTTCCTTTAGTTGAGGCCAATATTTGAAGGCCACAGTGTGGGCTCAGCTGTCTCCTGGGAAAGTTTATCCAATGTTTCCTGGATAAACATCGTGAAATTAGGGCAGGGGTGTCTTTTGCATGAATCCAAACAGACACTGACCAAGCTTTTTGATATAAAATGGGAAAATTTCTTTTGCTTCACAAATATTTCACAATTGTTTCTCAATTTAAGGCAGTGGTTTTCCACCTTGCCTGCATACTAGAATCCCCTAGGGAGTTTTAAAAAGTTACTAATGCCTGGATCCATCCCCAGAGATTCCAATTTAACTGGACTAGGGTGTAGCCGGAGCAAAAAATTTTCAAGTGTGAAGCTCCCAGATGGACTCAACCCTTGCTGCACTTTATCATTCTGTGCTTGTTTTGCATGTTACCACCTACATATGGAGACCTAAACAATACTTTTGGCATGTCTTAAACATTTATATAAATTATGTCCTTTTGAATGTATCATTCTTAAGCCTATTGCTTTCCTTAGCATTGTTCCAATGCATTTAAGTTGATCCTGATGCCTCTAGTTCATTCTTTGTAACTGCTGGCAGGCAGCACATTAAAATTTTCCATTGTAGGATCATCTTCCTCTGTTCACTTTTATCACAAATTCACATGCAGTCTAGTTGTTCAGGCAACAGTCATGGAGTCATCCTTGACTCTTCTCTCTCTCACATTTCACATCCAATGGCATAGGAATCCTCTTAACCTGCCTTCATGTACATTCAGTACCTGATACTTCCCTGCCTGCCTTGCTCCCAACCTGGTTCCTGCCACCACTATCTCACCTGGATCACTGCAGCAATTCCTAAGTGACCTTCCTGCTGCCACCTTTGATCCTCTAGTCTGTTCTCTGAAAGCAACCAGAATAATAGAAACAAAGTATGTCCCTCCTCTTTGTAAGACCCTCCTCCCATGGATTCCCATCTCACTCAGGAAAATTCAGTTCTACAGCCTGCATTCCAACCATCTCACTGCCCCTAGTCTCCTGTCACTGTCCCCACACTCATTTTGCTCGTGTCATTCTTGCTTTATTAACGTTAAATTCCTTGAATATAACAATCCCATTCCCACCTCTGGGCCTTTGTTGCATGCTGTTTTCTCTGCCTTGAATGCTCTTTTTATAAAAGTCATAAGACCCACTTCCTCACTTCTTTCAGGTGTCTGTTCTAATGTTATTGTGTGACAGCTGCCCACCCAGGCCAATCTGTCTCAAGCAGTACAAACTCCATCACACCCTGTGCTCTTGCTGCACTGTGGAAAGAACTGACTCTTACTTTTGGTCTGTGGAGTTGGCCCTGACCCTACTGTATAAAACAACAGAGGACCAGATATACCTGAGAAGCACGATCTTGGAAGTCCTTTGTCCCCAACCCTGGGATCCTACCACCCCCATCTTCTATGTTAATTTTTTTAAAAACAAATAAACCAAACCACAAACAATCTCTTTTCTTTTAAATCTACAAAGTATTTTGAGGGGTTAAACCAGAAAAAAGTCAACTTTTGCTTCCCCTCTCCTCCATAACAAATTCACAAATATCCAATTGCTTTTTTGCCCCATGGGGCACTAGCATCGCAGAATGGGGGGGGGGCAGTTGAGGAGGGAAGGCAGGCAGGGTTGGGGAGAAGTGTTCAGTCTCTACTTTCTGATTTCCACCACCCTCTCTACTCACAAACCTCAACAGCCTCACCCCCATGACTTGTCTTCCTCCAACCACAGTGGAATGCCTTGCTCTAGGGAAAGAGAATGTAGGCGTAGGCATGCCTTGAGAAATCAGTCTGTTGGGGAAAAAGACATAGAGTCAGGTAAACAACTTACAAGAATCCTCTTTGTTCTCCCATACCTATGATTTGCTATCCAAATCTTTCCTACTTTGAAGATTCAGCCGCAGGTGAGGTCCCACTCTACCTACCTGTGTCCACATCCCATCCCTGACACTTGCCACCCAAAGACTTTTCTCCAAAAACCACCAGAGATTCAAGGACTAGCCTGGCTCTGGGAAAGGACTCTTGAGTCTGAGTGCTTCTCCTCCAATCTTATCACTGAGTTTTTAGAATGGTTCTCAATCTTGGCTTGACTGTCAGAATCATCCAGGATCTTAAAGAAATACTGTTGCCTGGGTCTCAGAGATTCTAGTTTATTGGGCATCAAAACTTATTAAAATCTCTCCCACTGATTCTGTTTATCCAAGATTGAGATCCATCAGTTTAATAGCAAGGATATTGTCTTTCATACACTCCATAGTTTATATTCTGGATTTTCCAATCATTTATCAAATAAGTAAAAAGGACATCTGCTAGTACTTACTAAGGCTGTTGAAACTTCAAGCCCAAATTCAACAGAAACTAATACCTTTGGTTTGTAGAGTCCTCATTAAAGCCTTGCTTCTTCAAGTGTGACCTATGGACTAGCATACCATCAAGATGACCTGGAATTTGGTTAGAAATTCAAAAACTCAGGCTGCTGTACTAGAGTCCTGAGAGCTGCAAAATTTCATCATAAATGACTGTCAGCCCCCACCTACCCACCCACACATCAAGAGACTCAAACAAACACTAGCATAGTTTCTAGCAGTTCAAGGCTATATTTCCCCTTGAATTCCTTCCTGGGGAAGCTTGAGGCTCCCCAAAGAACTTGTCTTTTGTTCCAGCCAACATCTGAGCAGAGGCTACTAACCTCCCTTTTCTTAGAACATTTACTTGATGAAATTTACCACTGCTAGCCTGGCATGGTGTGAACATCTGTAATACCAGCACTTAGGATGTGGAGGCAAGCAGATGCCAAGTTTGAGGTCAGCCTGGGATACATAGTAAGACTCTTCTAAAAAAGCTGAGGGACGGGGTGTAGGTAACTTAGCTGAGCATTAGAGCACTTACCTAGCATATGCAAGGCTCTGGGTTCCATCTCTAGCACAGGAAAAAAATATACATAAATATTTAGTGAATCTTTTATCCCTTTTACATGCATACGTATCTCCTACAATCCAAGATTTTGTAAGAGCCTGGGATCCATGCCTTTGAAATTAAATTATCAAGAAAGATAGTGCCGACTCCCAGGCTCTGTGTGGGAGACTAGAAGCCTAACTTCATAAATTTGCCAGTACCAGACACAGAGACCCTGATCACACTGACCAACCCCCACTCCATAGCCTTTTGGTAATTTTCCACTTTTCTAGCCCTGCTTGAGCACCCCCTCCCTCTCCCCATTCCCTCATTCTTCCCTTAAAATTTCCAGTCACCTCTGCACAATCAGAGATGACCTCAGTTCTATACTGAGGACTCCCCACTATTGTTCCCTAGGGAGAATAAAATCTTGTCTCTACTGCTTTTTTATTCAAGTCTCCATTTTAATGAGATCCTTGGGTGATTTCCATATACATTAGAATTGGAGAAGTACTATATTATAATCTTTACCAATCCCTCAGTGATTTCTTATAAGCAGCTCTGAATGGTAGGCAGAAATTTTTATATCCACTTTATCAGTGAGAGTGGCCGGGCTGGTGGAGTGGCTCAAGTGGTAGAGAACCTGCCTAGCAAGCATGAGACTGAGTTCCAACTCAAGTACCGTCAGAAAAAAAAAAAAAGTTTTATGAGAGGGACAAGTGTCAGAGCTTTGCTTAAGGTCATAGTAAACTAGAAACTCAACCCCCTTTGACTCAATGAAGTGCTCTTTCCACAGTGCCATGCTAATGGGAGAGACCAAAAGACACGTAAAGATTCAGGAGAAAACAGTTGGTGGGAGAGAACTGAACATCAGTCCAACATGCTCTCAGGCTTTGATTTTTAGCAGCAAGAGAACTGTTTGGGTCACTTTTAGTCATCAAGTCTCCTTTGGGCCTCATTGAACTCTATTTGGAGTTGTCCTATTAGTAGTTGGAGGCCCAGAGATCAGTCTCTGGGACAGAAGTCATACTGACCCTATGTAAGTATTGAAGTGTGTTGCCTCAAAGACTGCAGAAGCCCAGCCCAGCATACATGGTCTGTGCACATTCCACACAGCCACCACCACCACCTAAAGTCAGACCCAGGCCTGACCCTGGTCCTGAGTCACTTGCCCCTACTCATTCTGCCTGCTAAGTCCCCACCTCTTCCTTCCCAGCTTGATTTGACTTTCAGTCTTTGTTTGTTTGTTTTATATCGTTTTTTGAGACAGGGTCTTACTGTTTAGCTTAGGCTGACCTCAAGTTTTTGATCCCTCTGCCTCCACCTTCCAAGTGCTGGGATTATAAGCGTGTACCACCATACTCCATTTTTGCTTTCCTAGATGACAGGGGTAGTCCTCTGGGTAAATCCTCTTTTGAGTCCCATCTCTACCCTTCTACTCCTAGATAGATTTAGTGTCTTGGTGGAGGCTCCTTGGAGCAGACCTCTCCTTGAGGCTCTGCTCACCTTATGCTGACATGACAGAATTCAAACTAACAAGCTAATGAATTATGTTCTATCCTCCATATGTTCCTTCTCCTCCTGACTTACCAGATTAGGCTAAAAGACCAATATGAAACCAGCTACCAAATTCAAATGCCAAAATAATTCTTCCAGGAAAGATAAAAATCACTAACATGAATAACAGGATGAATCTTTCAAATCATTTTCAAACCTCTTAGATCATTAGAACTAGGGCCCCCTCCCTAACCACAAACTCATAGAGAATAGTGATTTATCACTTTTAGCCAACAGTATGGTGAATATTTTTATTATTCATTTTATTAGAAAAACTGGCATATACAGGTGATTTCTGAAACATAATTTTATTAGAGTCAGAAATGATTACTTTTAGAAAAACAAATCTCCGAGGCTAGAAGGGAAGACAATGAAACAGAGATTTCACTTTATAATTTACCTTTATCAAACTATCCCATAATACATCAATCCCTTTATATGAGTATTACTAGCCATTAAGAGAAACAGACAAACCAAAAGCCTTACATTTTCTAATCTTCAAGTCAATCATCAATTTTGCTTCATTTTTTTTTTTTTAATGCTGGGGATGCAACCTACGGCCACCTTGTGCATGCTGGGATAGACTCACACCACTGAGCTATACCCTAGGCTCAACTTTTCTTAGATTTTTTAAAATATTAAAAAAAAATCATTTCAGATTACAGCACTCAAACACCACACACATCTGTACTGAACTGCAACAGGTGACTTTAAGCCTCATATTTTCCAGGTCTTAACTAAAATAACAATCACTGATTCCTTACATTTTTATCAGTCTTGTTTTACGACTATTGGCCTTATTGAGCCTAAACAGAGAGCAATCTTAAAGACATTACTAATCCATAGTGAGACTATGGTATAGTGAGCTGTAACTCCTCAGGGAATTGCTGGAAACAGATGACATTGCATGAACACAGGTGTGCACCCACAGCTATCCAAGCCCCCCAGTCTCGTGATCATTTTTCCTTTGAAGCCCAAGTCTGCGCTTTGATCTTCGAAGCAGCTTCAAGAACGGAAAGCAGGTTTACTTTGTCTCCAAATTCTTTTTCACGGTGCTCCAGAAGAATGCCCTAAAAAGGAAACAAGGAGTGTCACTCCTCATTCTAAGTGGTTCATTCATAAGACAGATGTGAAGCATCAGCTGTCTGTCAAACCCTGTGCTGAGCACAGATCTGAATCAGATTTGGCCCCTGCCATGGAGGAGTCCAGTCTTCTTGAGACAGAAGACTAGAGAAAGCCATGTCACAAATTTGGATTATACAGGCAGCACTTTAGGGACAGGAAGCCAGGAGTGATTATGACAAGGTGTTAGGAAAGGCTCCACAAATGACAAAGCATAGAAGGAAAGAGGGTAGAAAAGCAGGTAAAAGAACATTCTAGTTGAAGAGAAGAGACTGAAGCTGACACAGAAAACCCTGGCTCAGAGGCCAGACTTTGAAGGGAGACAAATGCTCTTCTTTAGTCTTCTAAGAAACTGAAGGCCATACTTTGTATACTGTGAATCACAGTGCATTAACACCCAGGACACCCCAAGGTCACCTGAACATGCTAAAAAAAAAAAAAGTAAAATAATTTGCTTGAGATCAGCAGCAAAGAATCCTTGTCAAAGAGTTCTGTAACCCAACTGGAAACTCATCTTAAATTTTAAAAAGTCTGTATTATGTTCTGTCATTATTTATAAAGACTTAAAAAAAACAGTCCCACACACTATGATGACTACAGGGAAGTAGATCAGGAAATTATATTTACTTGCTCAATAAAGCATACATACGAGAATACATAATTACATGTTAAATGGAAAGCAAAACAGTCTAGTAAGACTCCATTTTCTAAAAATGGAAAACAAAGGCAAGGGCCATTTAGCTCCGTTCCAGTGGTCATTCATCTGTGGTGGTCACGCTTATAGAATGGCTGCCCCCACCTTCCATTGTCTTACTGTTTTAAATTTTCTAGAGTGCACATACATTTCTTTAAAGTAAGTATGCTTCACGGATCATTAACATGGAAAACCAAGCTCCCAACACGTGACACAGGGCACAGTGGGGAAGCGAAAGCTCTACTCTCAAGAAGTGAAGGGCTCGGGCAGTGGATATAGCTCAACAGCAGAGCATTTGCCTAGCATGTGCAGGGACTTGGATTCAGTCCACTGCACTACCAAAGGGATGGGAGAGCATAAAAGCTTGGCTGAGGGTGTAGTGCAAGTGGTAGAACACTTGCCTAGCAGGTATGAGGCCCTGGATTCAATCCCCATTACTGTAAAAACAAAACAAAACAAAAACAGCAAAAAGAACCGAGGTAAGTCCTGATGCTCAGTCAGTCCAGTCAACCTTCCACCAGGGAGGGGAAAATCAGAAACTCCAAGGAGTACCAACACAAACAACACACCTAGCAACACCAGGAATGTGCCACCTGGGCCAGTGAGCACCAGGTGAGTCATCACTGGGCAAGAAAAGACTGCCAGATGTACCAAACCCTACCCTAGAGGCCATGGGAGGGAGATGTAGGAGCGGCAATGAACTCATGGTGCCAGAGTCAGAAGGGGAGAGGTGATCTTCTGAGGAAGTGGCATGCCAAAGTATAAGGCCATCTGGAAGGGGTCCTTGGGAACCACATTTGAAGACAATCTATCAGCAGGGTGGGCAGGGTCTCTGGAGTCAAAAACATCTGAATTCCTAAGTTTTACTTCCATCGTATTACTTACTAGCTTGTCTTTGGCTGACTTAGTTCACATCTCTAAGTCCATTTCCTTACGTGTTGATGTAAACAAGAATGTTTAACATCCAGATTGGTTGGGAGGAAGACATGAGATTGTGTACATAGGCATGGGGAACAAGGCAGGCACTTGTTAGCAGCCATTATCACTAACATATTTTGATATATTTACCATAAAATTAACAAACAGGTTTATGTTAAGTCAGACACCATTTAATGTTAATTCTAATAGAGACAAACAAGAGCAGTTACTGACACGTAAAATGAAGCAATAAGAAATAAAGCTTAAAATTCAAGGATTTCTATTTCCACTTTCATTTCTCCCAAATTGCGAAAAGTATGCAATTATCAACATAGTAGTAAGATCCAACAATGCAGAAGACATTCTGAAGAATGTCTCTACAGAAGTATGTTAATGTCACACCAAGGTTGCAGAGACTGGCCAGAAGTCAGGTCCCAGTTTCCAGGCCACCCTCCCATGCCCCATCCCTGCCACAAATCAGTGGCTTCTGCTGGCACTGCCCTCCAGGGCAGGGTGTTACCACAGGCCAACCTGGGGCACCCACCCACCTGCCTCCTGGGCACAGAGACCTCATTTCTCTTTTCCATGTCCTTCCTCTGTGGTGTACACACTGACTCTGGATCCTCATAACCAGGGCCCACAACCACAACATTCTGTCCAGTGTGTGTGAGTTTCATCTCCAGACACATCCTGCCCCAAGACTCCCATAGGAAAAGCACAGGCCCCCCCACAGCTCGTTGCCACTTCCCCCATCAGGACTGTTTTGATCCCTTCTTTCCTCTTTTCTCCATCACCCGTCTGGGAACATGCCAATGGAGTAAATTCATAAACAGAATAAAAATGATGCTTCTCCTTGAGCACATAAAACAACTCGAAGTCAGAAAACCTGGGCTCAAGTCACTGTAGGGCCAAGCTGGGCTGAGCTTGGTGCAGCCGCTCACCTTCTCTCTGTCTCAAGTTCACTGTTGGCACTGTGAGCAGACTGTCTCGTGACATGGCTGTGAAGAGTAAGTGGGCTCATGTGTGAGGTACCAGAAATCTGTAGACATGTAATCAGTGACAACTTCTCTCCCTTGCCACTCCCCATGTTCCCTGGTTTTCTGGAAGGAAGTCCAGAAGATCTCAAATATGGAAAGTCACCCCCCTTCCCAGCTCCAGAGTTTTGCCGCATGCTCATAGACCTGCATTAAACACTCAGAACTTACCTGTTTTCCTGATCCCACCACAAAAACTCCCCCGAGGATGAAACCTTCGCCTTCCAAGTTTCCAGAGAAGCCTCCATTCCAGGCCCGGAAGAAGTTGTACCACACCCCTACACGGATGAATCCCATGAACATCATCTTGCGTTTTTGTGGACCATAGAACTTTTTCTATGAAGTAAGAAAGATCACATATGAGTAGCTTGCATACCTGCCTTCCCCAGGGAGGAAAGGGTCCCCACAGAGACCCAGAGCCTGCTCTTTCACTGTCTTTTCCCCAACTTGACACACACAGCTCCACTGAGGAAACAGACAATGCTGTCAGGTTTGGTTTCTTTTTTTTTTTTTGCAGTACTAGGGTTTGAACTCAGGGCCTACACCTTGAGCCACTCCACCAGCCTTTTTTTGTGATGGTTTTTTTTTGAGACAGGATCTCATGAACTATTTGCCAGGCCTGGCTTCGAACCATGATCTCTTGTCCCCTGAGTAGGATTATAGGTGTTCACCACTGGTGCCCAACTGGTTTCTTTTTAAAATAATTTTTTTTAACTTTTTTTCCCCAGTTCTAGGGATGGAACTCAGGGCCTTACATTGCTAGGTAAGCACTCTGCCACTAAGCTGTACTCCAGCCTTGGGTTTACCCTAGGAAACAATTCTAACTAACTTCTCATGTTCTTACCTGCAACACCGATCATTAGGAAGAGGGGGGACAGAAAGATACCTAAGAAATTAAGGAATGTGGCAGGGTTTGTGCTAGAGCCGCTGACCTGCATAGTGGAAGCACCTAGTGGGGTTTTTGCTATTTCCCACTTTTCTGGGTCACCCTATAGGGAAGGATGGTAGTAATAACAGAGAAGACAGCTTGCAAGTATTTGTGCTCTGCTCACAGCACTAGGAGAGCCCCTGCAAGTACAGTGCTGTTGAAGGGGAGGCCAGCCTCTAGTTCCAGGCCAGACACAGTCTGGGCCACCGAACTCTCCACAGCTGAGCACCATCCTCACCTGCCTATATCCCACAAGCTCACACATGCATACCTTTTCATCTAGGAAGACTTCTCCTTTGAAGTAAGGCTGAAAGTCTTTCACTTCAGTCCTGACATGTTCCTTCACCACTGCGTAGAGGGGGATGCCCAGCTCGTCCAACTTGGGTTTCAGGGAAGACAGGTCTGCAGCCTCCTGCAGAAGACAGGAAAGTTCAGAGACACTAACTCCTAGGTGCTCTGCAGTCAACAAACCACATCTCGTACCCACAGGCCTAGAACATGGCTGGCACGGAATGTGGAGAAACATAATTCAGGCCTGTGTAGCCCAACATACACCAGTCACAGCTGGGCAGTAGGCCACAGGAAAGGGTGACAGGGGGCCTCCTCAGAATAGGATCCTTGTCTTCTCCATAGCAGAAAGCAGAGGTAGGCTCTGTTACAGATGTCCCAATCACAGTGCAGGGAGCAGCCATAAGTATGAGGTTGCACCCCAACACATCCTCTACCCTCTAGCCATGGCACTTCTCTCCTTCCTCATCTACTTCATCCTACCTCTCCTACCTCATCTCCCAGCTCCTCTCCTGCACTAGACCAAAGTAGTTCAAGCGCTGTTCAGATGCCATGCAGGTCATGGGACCGTGGCCTGATGTTTCCACTCGGTAGAATACCCGCCCCCATTCCCCACCATAACCTTCCTTCTCTCTCCAGCTCAAACCTGATCCTCTGGAAATGTATCCCTGTTCTAGAAAGATCTCCTGGCCTGTGCAGCCTAGAGTGAAGCTCTGCTTCTCATGCCTGTTCTGTCTTCTCTGCTTGATGACCTTTTTGTGCTCACTCTGCATGCTACCACTAAATTGTGTGTGTGTGTGTGTGTGTGTGTGTGTGTGTGTTTCCTTTTGGCAGCACTGGGATTTGAACTCGGGGCCTCACACTTGCTAGGCAGGTGCTCTTACTGCTTGAGCCATTCCACCAGTCCTTTTTTGTGATGGGTTTTTTTGAGATAGGGTATCATGAACTATTTGACTGGGCTGGCTTCTAACCAAGATTCTCCTGATCTCTACCTTCTGAGTAGCTAGGATTGCAAGTGTGAGCCACCAGCACCCAGCTAAATTGAATGTTTTTACTGAGATTACCAAATATGCCTCATAGTTAGAAACTATGTCTTCCATTTCTTGGAGCCCTCCCTCAGTGCCTAGAACATGGCTGGATATAAAGAAGGTACTAAACGCCAGGGGGAAATATCTGAAGGTGGACAACACAGAGAATGCAGCTGAGCTAAGCGGTGCAGACATTGTTGATACTCATGAACGCTGTGCTGGATGAATAAACAATACTGCGTGAATCATGGTAGAACTCAAGAAGAAATTCCTTTTTTACAGTAGGGTCAGAATTAAAGCATCAGAAGGAAATCCTTTTAAATGCAGCCTCCTCAACTCCAACACAAATGTAGTTGGTGGCAACCACATTTAAATTTTCATTTATTTTCTAGACAAGAAGGAAAAGATAGCTAGTGAAGCAGAATTGATTATAATACATTTATCAAGAGCTTCAATGAGTAGCAAATTTTCCCTAGAGCAGAAAGAAGGGACTACAGTGTCAGATGTGGACAATGACCACCTGTTGGAGATGAAAAGCTTCACTACTTTCCCTGGGCTCTTTATTCTGAGTATATCACTGTACAAAGACATGAAGTGGAAACTGAGCACACACCTCTGCCTGGGCCTCTCCAAATAACTCAGACTTTTTCCCTATTTTGGAAACTATACATTTCCATAGAATGCTCTGCCAGGGCTGAGACCAGGACAGAGGAAAACAGGTTGCAATTAGCAAGAGCTATTGATCTTGGAACCTTCTGGGTTTTACTGGCTTCAACAAATCAAGTCAAAACAGGCTTCTACATTGGTATATGGAGGCACAACAAATTTGGAATCAAAAGCCCTGAGTTTAAGCCTCACCTCCATTGGTAGGCAGAATAATGAGCCTCTAAAGATAACCACACCCTAAAGCCAGGGACCTGTGAATACGTTATGTTACATGACAAAGGGAAACTAAGACAGTGATGAAATTTAGCTCTTAAAATAAAAAAAGGATCCCTGGTTATCTGGGTGGGCCCAATGTAATCACCAGGATCCTTAAATGTGGAAAAAGGAGGTAGAAAAGTCAGTGGCATGAGGCTGCAATGTGAGAATGACTTGACCAGCTATTGCTGACTTTAAAAATAAGGGAAGAGGCCACAAGCTAAGGAATATGGGCAGCCTCTAGAAGCTGGAAAAGGCAAAGAAATGCATTCTCTGCTACAGCCTTCCGGAGGAATGCAATGGGATTCCATATCGGAATTCTGACCTTCAGCACTGTAAGATAATTGTGTTGTTTAAAGCCACGGAGTGGGTAGCAGTTTGTTACAGCAATATTAGGAATTAATACACCTATCTAGGCAGCATGGCCTTCAGCCTCTGTACCACTGTTTTCTCCTCTATAAAATGAGAACAGTAACCACAGACTGTGCTTCCAAGACATATGATGAGGAGCCCTGAGATAACAGGCACAGAAGTGCCTGAACATGAGGTGTTACAGGGCATGCCATGCAGTCAGCAGTGTGAGCAGATCTTCACCACAGGGAGCAAGAGAGAGTGAGAGTGAAGTAGAGGGGGAGGGAGAGGGTAAGGGGAAAAGGGGGAGGGGGAGGGAAGGGGGAGGGAGAGAGATACCATCAGGGCTGACAAGGAAATCCATCAAGGTTGGGGATGATAGCTGGGACAGAGCCAAAACTGCTACTTGGGAACCCAGGTTGTCTCAAGGGCAGGAGTACTGGACAATCCCAGTACCTGGGGCTTCTGTTACCGAATGGCCACCAAACCACTCTGGCCCTAAGGTTTACCTACCTGTAAAGTGACAAGACTGGGCCCAGGTCACTACAATGATTCAACAGGTACAGCTCCTACCCTCCCTTGATATGCCTCCTCACTGTACAGATGGCAATGGCTTCCCATTGAAAGCTAACCTAAAGCACACCCAATCAGTGAACTCCAACATTCACCAAGCTCTTGCACCAAATTCACCCACACAATCAGCATGCCTGAAACCCCAGCAGGTTACACACCTTGAGGGAGCACATAGGAAAACAGAAGAGTTAACATGATGGAGTGAGTGGTGACAGATACCAGGTGGGTCCCTGAAGGGAGGTAGACAGGAAGTTATGTTTTAAAGTGCAACCCTGAGGAGCTTTCCCTCATGCTGCAGCTTTACCACAGATAGGGGCTGGCCAAGCTGTATCAGCAACACTGCAGACCCTGCTCATAATAAGCATGTGTCTTTCCTAACCATTAGGAACATAGAATTGGGCCCCACGGCCACCTTGGATAAATGGGAAGGTGGTCCAGGACACAGCTGCTACAATACAGAGGGAAAGGCTCAGAAGTACCAGAGGTAAGTCAGATGCATCAGTAGATGGCAAATTGTTAAAAAACCAGAACAGATCCTAAGTCAAAGTAAATATGTAGAGTAAGTAACAGAGTACCCCAGTGTTGACAAAGGGTACTGGAAATGCTCCAGCCCCCACTTGTCAGGGTCCTTTTCTCTGAACAGAACCTCAAAAGTACTCACCTCTCGACAGAGGAAACAGCCTGGCCTCCGCACAGCCATAATCACAGCTCCATTCTTTTCCCATAACTCCTTTGCCTTGAAAGTCCTTGGTTCTGAGGAAGAAATGGAAACTCATTGTCTCTTCCCAGCCCAGTCCAGTCCTGCCCAGAACTACAAGAAGCTCCTTAACTACAAGGAGCTAAGCCTAGGTCAGAAACCAGGTCTGGGGGAGGACTAGCACAGGCACCGCACTTGTGGGAGAAGGTGCACACAGACAAGAAACATACATCTTCCTGAGGAGAGTTAATAAAGCTTAAGGATCCTACTGCATACTCCAAAGATCTCTCCACCACCATGAATATTGATTTTCAAACTGTGATATTTCTGGCAAAATGGCAATCCCTTTTATGGCTAGCATCATCTGACACTGTAATAATCCAGTAAGGCAGAAACACAGCCAAAACTGAAGAAGTCTTGTACCTTGACCTCCACCCCCCAAAAAAACCAACCTACTCTTAAAAACATATTCAAAGGAACTGAGCATTATGGTTCACCCTTGTAATCTCAGCTACTTGAGAGGCACCAGCAGGAGGATCACAAGTTTGTGGGCAGCCCTGGTAAAAGTTAGTGAGATCCTATCTCAAAAGCAAACAACCAAATACAAAAATAAAAGGGTTGTGGCCTGGCTCAAGTAGTAGAGCATTTGCCTATCATGCACAAGGCCCTGGGTTCAATCCCCAGGACCACCCCCCACACTCCAAAAAATGCCACAAAACAACAAGAAAACATATTCAAAGAAATTAAATAACATAAGAAATTTTAAATATTTTAGTATTTCCCTGAGGTATGTGGGATGTTCTGTGAACAGAAAAAAGAAGAGGGAAGAGGGGAGTCTGTAATCAACTGAGGTTGGGAAACCCTGGGTTGAACAAAGGTTATTGGATAAACAGTATTTCTCAGATTTATTTCACTCAAGGACTCCTTTTTTATTTGGTGAAGATCCCACAACCCTGTAATTCTTTTTTTTTTTTTTTTTCTGGTGGTACTGGGGTTTGAACTCAGGGCCTCAAGCTTGCTAGGCAGGTACTCTTCCAGCCCCTTTATTTGTGATGGGTTTTTTTCATGATAGGGTCTCGTGAACTGTATGCCTGGGGGCTGGCTTGGGACCAAAATCCTCTTGATCTCTGCCTCCTTGGTAGCTAAGATTACATAGGCACCCAGCTGGAATTCTTCAGAATATTCTGTAGAAGGACTGGATTACTGAGTGAGGGTATAATGTTACTAAATGTTGTGAAGTAATTTATCATTACAGTTACGAGAGATAGGAATAGAGTGAAAAATGATTTTGATAAGAAAAAGATAAAATAGCAAGTTATACCACAATCACATCTATAAAATAATAGATATATATGGAAAGGAATATGCCAAAATGAAAATGATGACTTTTTTTAGGGGAATATAACTATTAGTGATTTTAAAAATGCTACTGAAATTTCCCTAATGATGTTATATTGCCTTTTCAAGAAAAAAAAAAAAGCTATTTTAGGCAGAAAAAAAAAATCAGTATGCCTGCATCCCAGCACCTTGGAAAATACTGAGATCTGCGTGGTTGCTCCTTACCTTTCTCTAGTGTTTTCAAGTCAATGTCCTCCAGATACTCCAGTGCTGCTTTCTGGGGCTTGGACAGAAACACATCTGTGTTGGCCAGGAGCAGTGCCAAGGCAGCAGCCCCCAGAGCGCCTGCCCCAATGGACCACATCCCCATGCTGAAGAAACTTGGGTCCTGCAGGAAAAACATTTCTGGAGAGGAAGGAAGATGTTACTGCTCCCACAGGACAGCTGGAATCTGATCTTTTCTGCACAAGATTCTGTTAACTGCCAAGAAGCCGGGGGAGGCGGGACCTCAGCATTAGAGAGGCAAGTGCACAGGGTTGCTCAACACTCTCTGCCTGAGTTCCTCTGTCAGAGCCTGGGGTTATGCCTGACTGCAGGTTCCTGACCCAGGGAGCTCACCAAGGAGTCAGGAGTGATTACAGAGAAATGATAGCCTTTTCAGGGCTTCTCTTCTATTTCCAACCCAGCTCTGCTTCACTGTCACCCCTATTGCAGAACACTTCCTCATTCCTTTTCTCATCAATTCCTGATTCTCTTTCACACTGGTGGCTAGGCTATCACCTCCACGGGGAGGGACAGCTTTCTCATCTCTGATTAGAGGAGACTGGTTTTGTTGCCCTATCTTTCTTCCCCTTTAGTTTGAGAATGAGGGGATACTTATTTCATTGCACTAACTTTACTGTAAGAGCCCCCCAGAAACAAGGACCACATTCTACTCATCAGTGTCTCGTCAGTGCCCAGCAAGGATTCAGTCATCTGTGAAGCAGTCTCAGTAAGTCTCTCCCAACTGAGAACAGCTTTAACTTTTGCTTATTATAGAAATAAAGTGGGTTCACGACAACAAAACAAAATACAATTTAAAAAGAGGCAATACATAAAACCACAGATGACAAGAAGACAAATATCCTTTGATGTCCACTACCTAGAGATGGCCATGGTAAACATTAGTGTGTAATCTGACATGTTCCCATAAACAGAACTGCATCCATGTCTGTGGAATGAGGTGGGGAAGAAGGAAGGGAAGTATACATTATGCCAGAATAGCAAGGTGCTATAGTGTCTGCTTTAGCACAGGCTGGGCAAAAGGTATCTTCAAAAGAGGGGAAACTTATCAACTGCAATGGACTTCCACACAGGTCCTGTCCCAATCCAGCCTTGTTCCAACCTGGGGCCTTGACACCTCACCAATAAGGCTCCCTCCAGCTGGGATTCCTTGATTCTTTGGGTGGGGAACCCCAGAACCAGCCCCCTGATAACAGCCTTCCTTCTCCTGTCAGCCACTTGTAACACCTGCCCTTCCATTTGGCTCTCATACCACCTTAGTATCTGACCATCCTGGAGCCTTCCTAAGACCCAGCCCAATTCTGTGTGCTTGGACCACTGGAGACAGAACGTTGGGGATGTGACCCAGTTAATCTCAGACTCAACTCTCCCCTGAGGAGCTGGCTGGCAGAGGACTTCTTTGAAGATAAGGCAAAGGTCTCCAAATCCACATCATTGCCAAGGGAGGGGGCTGTGAGGAGTTTGCAGCAGGAATGTGTGAGGAAGTGACCAGGACATGGTGACTTTGGGAAGGAAAAGAGATCAGACTAGTGCTGAGGGCAGCTTCAGCTCAGATTTGAGTTAAGAAATAAAAGAGAATTTGCAGACAAGGAGTGACCAATAATAATGGCATTTAAGAAAGAGCAATCTGGAAGGATGCCCTGAGTTCAAACCCCAGTGCCACCAAACAAAGGAAGGAAGGAAGAAAGGAAGGAGGGAGGGAGGGAGGAAGGAAGGAGGGAAGGAAGGAAGGAAGGAAAGAAAGGAAGGAAGGAAGGAAGGAAGGAAGGAAGGAAGGAAGATCTGGTACCTATATACTTGAGAAAAGGAAAAGAAGGGGAGGTCAGAATGTATGTCTTGGGGGAGGCAGTACCATATCTCTGACGTGGGTACTCCAGCTGAGGGAAGATGTTCTTTCTTTTTTCTGGCACTGGGGTTGGAACTCAGGGCCTACACCTTGAGTCACTCCACTAGTCCTTTACTAGTGATGTTTTTTTTCAAGACAGGTCTCGAGAACTATTTGCCTGGGCTGGCTTCAAACCGCGATCCTCTTGATTTCTGCCTCCTGAGTAGCTAGGATTGCAGGCGTGAGCCGCCAGCACCCAGCAGAAGATATTCTTATAACTACACTACTCAAAATGGGGTCCATGGACAGTGGGCTCAGGACAGATGTGTGCTGAAATGAATTCAATACAATTGAATGATATGAGCATGACTTAGGCACAATCAAGTTCTTGGGTTGAGCCGGAAAGAACTTTCTACAGACCTGCTTCTAATTCTCTCATGTGGCAAAGTTACACATTACTGAATTATACATTCACAGAATAAATAAGAGGAAAGTCACAGCTCTCAGCCACTTGCTATAAACAAATTCCACACAGCATGAAACAAAGTCTGTACCTTTATGTACTTCTAAAACATCTCTAGATTTCTAACAGGTGTGTATGACTCAGGAACATACGAGTGGTGGCTGGTCAGGAGTGGTGTCTGATCAAGACCAGCTTATATCTACCCTACAGACTTGCTGAGACTCCTGGGACACAGCAGTACATTTGGGAAGTCTAGAGACTCTGAGTCAGCTCCACATCGTTCCAACACCCCCCTGCTGCACTACAGGCAAACAGTTTCCATATCCCCTCTGCTAATCCACAGGCACTGAGCTTGTTTGCTCATGAGCACAAGGGAATTCAGCTCAACTGGACTCAACAGTTATTTCCAAACATTTATTCAGCACTGACCAATTCAATAAGTGGCAATTTGGGAAGATACAAAGTGAAATGATACATAATCCTCAAGGAGACAAAGGCCCAGTACACAAGTAACAGAAAAGTTAGTGGGAAGGTGTGGGAACTGCTTGGCAAAGTGTGAGCACCAGGCTATGGCAAAGAGGGAAGGAAGTCAGTGGGAGCCAGTCTGGGAATCCACAGAAGCACAAGAAGGAAGTGGTTTGGGGTTTAATATAAGACATAGGACCCAGAATACAAACTTGGTCCAGCTAGGGCTGACTAAGCCTGGGAAGGAACACACTGGCTGGGGGTAGATGTCAGTGCTGAAGTCACCCTGATAACTCAAATCTTCATGCTCTTGAAGAAGGGAGGCTCCCACATTCCTCCCTCAAACCCAGGGGTTGGGGTACAAGATCTGGGCTTCAAAGCCCAGATTTTCTACCCAATCCCCCACTCCTACTGCCAGCTATGATTCAGAAAATGTGAGCAGAGGCTAAGGTGTTCTCAACCACAGGCCCTGCAGCACCAAGCTATCAGAGAGCTTCATTAGCCCTGACAGGCTTTCCATGAACATGATGTTCCCAGGGGACCTCCAGCAGATGGCTCTTCTGTCAGCGATTAAGAAGTGAAAACTGACTCTGAACTACCTACAGAGCACAGGTCCAGCCTTTAGCCAAGTCCTGGAGTTCAAAGCAACCCCCATCCTGGCATTTCTGAGTGCACAGCACAACTTGCTGCACAGTCTGAGCAGACCCTGAATCCGGAATCACTTATACCCACCCCCTACAAAGGGCAGGTAGAGAGAGTTTTATATTGAGATAGAACCTGCCATTTCCACATGGGCCTCCAAGATCACACTGACTAGAGAGGCAGGGAGGCTAGTAACCTCAAATCTCCTGTCACTTGACACACATGGCCTGAGTTCATTTCCTCAACAGCCTTATAATGCAGAAACTACCCTGTTTTCTTGCCATCAATGCTGAGATTCACAGAAGTTCAGTAACTTCCCCCACTGCCACAGAGCCAGCAGGCAGCAGTACTGCCACCTGGACCAGGGTCAACAGGAATAGGACTTTCTTTCTGCTATCACACATGGCCTCACCACACATTCATTTGTGGGGGGTCAAGGGATATGATCCCCTTTGTCTTAAAGAGAATTAAAGAAGATCACCTTATTTTTTTTTTCAGTCATCAAATATAGTCAAACCATGTCTGCTTTAAAGGAAATTTACCATACTTCAGCCGTCCCTTTTTTTTCCTCCTATTTCCTCTGAAGGAAAGGGTCAGTCCCTCTGAAAGGGAATAGCCAGGTTGTTTACAGAAGAGCCAGCCCCCACCTGCCAGCTACAGTATTCAGTTCCCCACTGTAGGCCTTATCTGATGCTCCTTCTCCCACAGAAGGTGAGACAGGCTACAACCACAAACAATGGCTGCAGCAGCTCAGAGTGGCAGTTCTGTTCTGGGAAGAGCTGGTGGGTAGGAGGAGGGGACCCAACCTGGCTCCTAGGCTAAGCTGAGGCAATCCATCCCGAGACCCCATTTTCTTACCTCCAAAATGATGGTTGTAAGGTTCCTAAAGCTCCCAGTGACTCCCTATGATTCCAACACAAGCAGCTCACTTTGGAGTCTGAACATTCTTGGTTCTTCATCAACCCCCACCTCCACTCATCCTGCCCATTCACTTTCCAGCTCTGAACCCATCTCTTCCATATACAAGGCCCCTTTCTTCCCCACATGGACCCTACTGGCAACCTCAGCAGCTTAAACCTGGGAACAGGCACTCACCATGCAGGTTCCACACTTCTGCTTCTGTTGAATAAAGCAACTGACCTACAAGTTGGTAAGCAGGCAGCAGGGGAGAGTTGGAGGTGGGGCTCTGGAATCTTGCCTGGGCTCCTAAGCTCAGCCACTCCATTGGCAGGACCAGGCCACTCATAAACCCTGGGGCTCTTTCAGCTGCCAACAGTTAATCTCCAGAAAACATCAAAATGTTTTTGGCTAGCTGCCAAAGCCCCCTAGCCCTTCAAAAAGTTAGGCAAAGTTTTGAGTCATTTGTAGTCACGCAGACTGTAATATTTCCCAAGTGCCAGCAGACTCCCTATCTGCTATCCAGTGCAGACTAATGAAGTGACACCCTTAACACAGCCCACATGTCACACTAACAGCCTCCAAGGGACTGTCCCTTTCTCCATGGCTCCTTGTGCAGCCTGCATCCTCACCCATTCCTCATTCCATGTCCAAGAAGTCAGTTGGCACCATTGAGGACCCTCATCTGTTACCTATTCATCACCTCCCTTTGCTTTCCCTTCTTTTACTGCAACTTAAGTGGCTCTGTCAACACACAAACCCTTCCTGGGTGACCTCGCCTTCTTTTAGCACTTCATCTACCATCTTGGTATTGACTTCATTCCTCTTTCTGACTCAAAGTTTCCAGTTGGGGGTTTTGTATGCATCTCTGTAGCACCATGTCCAAAACTGACCTCTACTTCCAGAGTTCCCTAGCTCAGGGAATGACACAACCATTCAGCCACCTGCTCAAGCCAGAAAGCTCTGTCATCATAAAAATCATCTGCTACCCAATCTCTTCTTACCTCACTGCAACAAGTTTAGGCCCATTATTTTGTACCTAGTTTATTTCAACAGTCATTGAACAGAATGAACTTGACCAGGCTCTAATTGGTTCCCTACAGTTTATTCTCATGCTATGGTCAGAACAACCTTAAAACTTCCTTCCCTTGGTTCCCTCTCACAATGAAGTTCTCAGCACAGATGGCAGGGCCCTCCACAGTTTAGTTATAGCCTACCATTCTGGCCTCATTTCCAGCTACAACAGCACCACTTAATGTACAAGGTCACCCTGCTGTTCATATTTCCTTAACCCAGAATGTGCTCCACATCCATGCTAGCTAGGTAAATGCCTACTTATTTGTAAGGCCCAGCACAAATAATGCTTTTTCCCCAAATCCTTTCCTAAAATCCATGTCAACTGACTGCTCTCTCACCTCCAATTACAGTACACACACACACCTCTGCACACGTGCAAAGGGATCTCTTATATTTTAGTTACCTGCATGTCTGTCTTCATAACATGACAGCACAGTCTGAGGACAAGGGCTGTTTGTTGTCTTACTTGTTCCTGCATCCCCAGCACTTAACATGGATCCTGGAAATTATGTCTAATGTCTAAATGAAGGGATGTGAATTTTACTCTTTAAACTTCATGGTGAGACTTATTTGGAACTAACTTGTAGCTACCCAATTTCAGCTCGGTATAAAAGGTAATTTTGGATAGGGCAGCCCTGATGTTAAAGAAAACACTCAAGTTTGGGGCTTAAGTGACCTGATATTGGGTTCTAACTTCAACTGCTTGCAGGCAAGACAAACTGACATAAACTACGATACTTTGGGCTTGAGTCTTCTCATCTGAGTAGACAGAGGAAAGAACTAGAAATTCTGTGAGGCCATACCAGCTCTGACATCCAGACCCTACAGTATCTCATGATTGCAGCTATAGGAATCTTGATTCCTGAAAGCCATGATGGCGCCTGCTCTCTCCTGGGTGTGCACACTCTCATTTCCTTGTCTGGCGTAACTCCTGCCATTTAAGGACTGTCTCTGAGCAGGAACTGATAAAGTCTTTATAAAATAAAGCATCAGCACTGGGTGGGTTAATTCATGTTTGAAACAAGTAGAGACAATGCCATATTCTAAACATCAAGGGTACACCTGCCCAGCCCAGCCTTGCCCAGGGAATCCTCCCTCCTCAGAAAAAGCAGGCCTGAGGCAAATAGGGGAGAAAATGGTGTACAGGAGACAAAGGAAATGAAGAGCCCCATAGGTATCCTTGCCTCATGCTCTCAGTACACAAAGCTGGAAGGATGCTACATCTACCTCTGCTTTTCCCCATTCCCCTCTCCTTCCCTCATTTACTCCTCCTAAATGAGGGAAGTAAGGCCCAGAGAAATCAAGTTCAAATGGGTAGGACAGGGTGTCACTGGGTATGCTGGAACTCAGATCTGGATCTCCAAACTCCCAGTCCATGCCTATTTACACTGCATTAGACGCTCCGAATCCCAAGCAGCCAGGCTGGGCCAGGCCTCTAAAGCCAGAACAGCATGGAGGTTTGGGCTCAGGAAAAAGGGGCACTGTGGGTGCTAAAACCTGATCACTGGCCTCAAGCAAGCTCAGAGCAAGACTATTCCTGAACTGAGCCTGGGAAATCTGATGCCTGGATAGAACTCAGCCTGTCCCAGGCCCAGTCCTTAAAAAACAGCTTATAAATCAATGTCAAATGTTTTCTTAAGGGTTACACTGCCCATTCTCAGCTGAGAAGCTGCTCTGTACGTTTCCTACCCACAGTAACAAGGCCCTGATAATTCAAATGCTAAAGAAACAGCTTGAAAATGCCCGCTTAGCAGTGTGATGGGGTGGTACGCAGCAGGAGATGCCTTCAAGTTCTGCAGAACTGGTCGCTTGCAGTAAGTACTCATCCACCTGCCAGTCTCCAGCTCTCAGCTCTGCTCCTTTGGGTGATTGTCTGGCTCTGGCCCAGTCCTCCGATCAAGACACCAGATCCAAAGAGTTTTGAACAGATACTACAAGCACAAGAGGACACAACTGACCCCTGCGAAACTTTGAGGAATGGCTGAAGGTGAGATATGTGGGGACAGGGAGATTCCTTTCCTCTGAGAAGTGCTCCTGAAGCCATCCCTCTGACTCTCAGTCATTTCATCCCTTTGTACCACAGTATCTTCTTAAAAACAAGGGCATTTTGAAGGGCTGTCAAAGAATGCTCAAGAAGAGCAATGTGAAATGCAGCAGCACACTAGAGAATTGAAAGGCAGCATTATCTGTTTTGTCATTGTTTGTCTTGTGTTTATTGTTTTGTTTTGATGTTTTTGGTGGTACAGGAGTTTGAACTCAGTACCTCACACTTGCTAGGCAGGAGCTCTTCCTGCTTGAGACATTCCACCAGCTCTTTTTTTTGTGATGGGTTTTTCAAGATAGGGTTCTAGAACTATTTGCCCAGGGCTGGCTTTGAACCTCCATTCTCCTGACCCCTGACTTCTTAGCTCCTGAGTAGCTAAGATTACGAGTGTGAGCCACCAGCACCTGGCAGTGTTTGGTTTTTAAGATAGGATCTCACTATGCAGCCCAGATAGGCTTTGAACTATTGATCTTCCTGCTTCAGCTTCCTGAGCACTAGAATGGCAGGCACACACCACCACACCCAAGTTTAGCGTTATCTTTCTCTTCTTTGCAGGGCTCAGGTCCACTCACTCTATCAGGGCAGGACATCTGAAGCAGGACAGACACCAAACACTGAACAACCTGTCTAGCTGTGTTACTGCAGGCCTTCATTCTGGGTGGACATTCTAGATCTGGGGGGAAGCCCGGGAGTATCTCCACCCTTCTGCTATCTGCCTTCTCTACAGCACACACTCTTTGCCACCCCTGCGGCAGTTCCACACTTGCCTTCTGCACTAGTAGCACCAGAGGAGGCAAAGGGCACTGCTCAATTGCAATCTCCCTGGGCCAGAAGCCACTGAGCTCAGAGGTGAGGCTGGCTCTCTCAACAGAACCTCTGGACAGTTCTTGCCACATAAGCCTCAGCCAAGAGAGACTTGGAGCCTCTGCTAAACAGTTCACAAAGGGCCAAGTATCCCATTTGGGTGCCTGCCTTTTTTTTTCTAAGGTATTGACCAAGCCTGGGCTTGAGCCTGAGAACTCCAGTCTGAACCAAATCTTTTGGGTGCCACATAAGCTGAAGAGACAATCATCAAAAAAGTCTTTTGTACCTTCAGAAACAACACAGAAGGTCTCAACTAAATGATATGCCCTTATAAGGGAGTGGAATATGGGAGAGGAATATGGGAGAGGCTAGACCAAGAATACCTGAGATCTAACTCTAACTCCTATAAGCTGTATAAACCTGACCAAGGCACTGTTTTGCATCAGTGAAATGAGAGTGATTGCTGAATCACCTTCCACAGAGTGAAAAAAAAAAAATCAAAGGATTAAAGGTATAGAAGATGCTTTGTAAGCTACCTTACAAAGAATGCCATAGTTGTGATGTATAAGTCTTACTCACTTCTGAATTAGTCAATGATTGCTCCCTAAATATTATTGGTATACAAAATGGAGGGTTTTCTGATGAATGAGGAAGGAGTCGGAGTTGGAAGTCTAAATCCAGTTCTCAGTCCCCAGGGCTGGGCCAAAACAGGCACATATAAGCTGGCTCCAAGACAGAGCTTTAAAAATTAAACCTTAAGTAATTATTTTCTTTTAAAATAAATCATCTACTAGGCTGAGAGGAAAATGAGAGGATAAAAACAAAAACTAAGTTGGGAACTATGTAATTGGGCTGTGGAAAGGGCATCGTGTGTTAGATCTAACAGACACAAAGTGGACTGCACCTGAACCTCAGCCCCGCCTCTGGAATCTCCAGTGTCCCCTACCCACCGTGCCAACTGGGCCTAACTTTCCTTGCCTCTGACCATCTCCTTCACCTGCCCACCGCCACAACAACCCTGAGGACGTACTGATCCACTAGTGGCCCGTTCTCATTCCCATGCCTCGGCATGGCTTCGAAACTTACACGTGGACCCTTCCCAATTTTAAATCAGTGGTTTGTAGTCTTTGAAAGACAGGTGCCTTTGAGACTTAAGAAAGCTACAACTCATGCCCTTCTAAAATACACGACTGTATGCAGGCAGATGCAGAAGGGCAGGGCTCTGCCTTTACTCCCTCACCTAAACTGCTCTGCTTCCCCTTACCCCTCACCCCAGGCGCGACCCTGACCGGATGAACGTGCCTTTCCTCGGTCCTTTGTCCCCAAAATTCAGACAGGTCGGTGCCACCAGGCTCACTTAAAGCCTGGGGGAAGAGAAAGACGAGATTCTTCGCCAGTCTAGTGGGTTTTTCCCCTGACCTCTTAGAGCTGAGGGAGGATCGGGCCGGCTCTGAGGCTGCCCGCGGGCGCTGGACCCCCCGGAGGCTGCAGTCCTAAACCCGGGATCCACTCTCCCGCGCGCCGACCGGGCCCGGATCCTCACCTGCGCCCGGCGGGCCCCGCCTCCGCGGACGTCACGGCCTCGCAGAGCCCTACAGGCAGCGACCGCCGCAGGTTCTCCCTCCCGCCAGCTTTCTCTCGCGAAACCCCACCAAGGACTCAATCCTCCCCGCAAGTCGGGCCAACACAGACCCCGCGCCTGCGCAGGTTCCGGCCTGCGCGGCCGTGCGTTCCCACGTGACCGGCCCCTCCCCCTCCCCCCCCCCCGCCCCGAGCGCTCTGGCTCCGCCCCGTCCCGCTGCTTGGGCGGGGCTCCCCCACACGGAGCCTGTTCTCCTGAACCTCTAGGGCTGGGGGCGGGGCAGTTCTTGGCTGGCTGCTCATTAGCACAGTGTTCTGTAGCTTACTCCTCCGCATCTGTTGAACACAGACCCCTGAATCGGGTCCAGAAGCACCTGTGCAGCAATCGAGGGTAGTCACCTTTCAGTCCTCAGGGTGCACTTAAATAGCTTTGATGACCTTTTTAATTTTTTGTTATGACTACAGAGTATATTCTAGACTGATGCATTCTGATGAGCATTCCTTCAAGCGTTGTGGAACAATTCCGAATTGCCAGCCTCCGTCCTCACCCCATATGCCCTTTCCCCCCCAAAATGCCAGTTATGGTGGCAGCCAGAGCCCTGGTTCCTGGTATGTTGCCTGCTTCTCTCAGATTCTGAGCCACAGTGGGGCTTGTTTGTCCCATACTCATCCACCAGTTTTTTTCCCACTTTTTTTTCTTTATTAGTGTAAATTACTTGTACAAAGGGGTTTCATTGTGATATTTTCATACATGCATATAGTGTATCTTGATCATTTACACTCCCATCACATTCTCCTTTTCCTCCCACTGGTTCCCCCCAACACTTCCGCTTTTATAATCATGTCAAATTTTTGTTGTTACTATTTTAGGTCTAGATTCTGCCTATGAGTGAAAAAAATGTGATATTTGTCTTTCTCATTCTGGCTTATATAACCCTTCTACACTTTCTACACTCTCGGTGGGAATGTAAATTACTGTAGCCACTATGGAAACCAGTATGGGGGGATCCTCAAAAAAGTAAAAATAGAACTGCCATATGTCCCTCCTAGGAATACATCCGAAGGACTGTATGTCAATGTACAGTAGAAATTCCTGCACACCCAAGTTTTCTATAGTACTGTTCACAATAGCCAAGTTATGGGATCAGCCTAGGTGTCCATCAACCAATAAATGGGTAAAGAAAATGTGGTATATATACACGCTGGAGAGCTTCATGGTTTTGGCTTTTTGAGATAGGGTCTTGGTATATACTCAGGCTGGCCTCAGACTTGGGCCCTTCTACCCCAGCCTCCCAAATGTTGGTATTACAAACACTTGCTACGTGCCCAGATTCATTCTTTTACTCTTTCTGCAATATGTACCCATGTTGTTTTATAAAAGTAGATAGTTGAGAGAACATAGTTTCGAGACAGGATTAGCTGACTCACAATAAAAGACCAGTGGGAAAAAAAAGAGACCAGTCACAGGGCAGCTTGCAATGAAGTAGCAAAGCAGGCTGACATGTACACTGGTTAGAGGTAGTTAGTGGCTTTAGTCCTTCTTCTCCTCCTCTACCTCCTCCACACACACACACACACACACACACACACACACACACACACACACACACACACACACACACCTGGGAAGGCCCACTGGCATACAAAGTCAAAGGCTTTCCTGATTTGCATCTCTAACTTCTCGCTCAGACTCATCACATTTCATGTACATTTATGGCAACACTGGGCCCATAGAATTATAAGTTTCTTTGCTTGACTACAGGATTCCAGAGCCTAGCCTAAGGACAGCATCCAGGTATACCTGGAAAGTTTTGTGAAGGAGAGGAATGGATCTAAATTGGGGAGTGGGGGGCGGTTAGTGAGAGGGATCAATGAGCCTGAGTGATCATGCATTTTCTTTGTAGGAGTAGGTGTGTGATTGGAATGCCAGAAAATAATTGGTATAATCTGGTACAATGTGGGTAGAGTCATAAAGAGGCATCTTACCCCCAGAGTCCCTTTCTCATGCCTTCCTCATTTCTCCCTACCCTGTGAAGAAGAGGGGGAGAAGGCTCACTCACTGAATCCTTAAATGGGATGTTTGATCAAAGGAAGGTTTGCAGGGAAGGCCACTTCGAATAAAACAAGCAGCCATTTCCTTGGGCCATGGTATCCAGAAACAGACCATTAGTGACAGTGCCACTCAAGATTAGGAATGGTAAAATTTTAGGGTGGGAGATGATCTGAGGTACGCTTAGGAATCAAGTGCAAAATGCCATGATTATATTTATACTTCTGTAGCATCCCAAAGCTCTGGACTTCAGAAGCCAGGCTAGATCTGAGAGCTGATCAATATGCACCTCATACTGCCAAGTTTCTTTTTGTAGAAGAAGGCACAGTCTGCACTCATTAAACTGCCATCAGAACAGAAAAATAAGTTATGGGCAAGAAGACTCAGGAAAACTATTTACAAAGCTCACAGATTAAAAAAAAATTCACATAGCCTGCTGAGGTTTAAAGAGAAAGTAATTCTATAGTCATAAAGCTCATAGATTAGAAGAGTTTAGATTCTTTTTTTTTTTCCAGTGCTTGTGCATGCTAGGAAAGCCCACTACCACTGAGCTACATCCCCAGTGTTTTGTTGTTTTCAGACAGAGTCTAACTCTGTAAACCAGGCTGTCCTTGGCAATCCTCCTTGCCTCAGCCTCCTGAGTGCTGGGATTACAGGTGTGTGCCGTCATCCTTGACTAGCCTTAGATTTTGAATTTAAGGGGGTAGAAGTTAAGACTGACTAGGAGCTTTGTGCTAACTCAGATAACTTGGATATGTTACCATCTTGACAGAGGCTGGGATACTTTTCTGTCCCTTGCAAATCCTGTAGGCCAGGCAGAAAACACTGTTAGTAAGAGACAGAGCTGGGTAAAGTCTTGTGATTATTCTCACATTCAACAGGCTTCATCTGCTTCTCAGCAATGACCTAAGCCAGAAGCATGGCATGGTTTTTAAGCTAATGGCCTTGTTTTGTCTGGGCTCAGTAGGAACAGTTCAGAAAGCAGCTAGCATCAGAGTAAAAGCAAAAACTGGTCCTTGACATCATTGTCTCAGGCCAAGATTCCCATTCTGTAGATGCAGAAAAATCAAATCAGGACCAAGAATTGTGTATAAACCACAAAAATAGATATGCACAGATCAGCTATTTCCATGAGACTTTCCTACTTCCTAACTTCAGCTCTTTCTTACTTCCATTTATTTTTTTTTAATTTTGGTGATACCAGGACCTTGTGCTTATTAAGTAGGCACTCTACCACCTGAGCCATGCTCCCAACCCTTTTTTCTTTAGTTATTTTTCACATAAGATCTCACACTTTTGTCCAGGGCCAGCCTCTGACTAAGATTCTCCAACCTATGACCTCTCCAGTAGCTGTGATTATAGACATGCACCACCACACTGGCTTTGATGGGGTCTGGATAATTGGCCTCAAACAACAATCCTCCTCATTCTGCCTCCTAAGTAGCTTGGATTATAGGTATAAGCCATGACACCTGGCTCTTTCTTATTTTTTTTTTTTAAAGCATGAAGATGCTCTACTTCCATAGTGTGCATTATAGAAAAGTCTATAGGACCCCCTTTCTAGAGCCTTCCCTAGGTAACACCATTGGCTTACCAAGTGAACCAATGGCTGACTGAAGGCTGGATCATTCTGCCCTAGGTTAGGGAGGCAGAGCTGCTCCCATATCCTCACCAACTTTCACTTAACCATTTGCTAAGCTTTTATTCAGTTGGAACAGTTTGGTTTGCAAATAACAAAAAAAAGGGGGAGAGGGAATAAAAGAGAATGATGGAAGAGGCAAATTTGACTAAGATATATTGTAAGCACTTTTGTAAATGTCACAATGTTCTCCCAGTACAACAATAGCATGATAATAATTTTTTTAAAAAAATTCAAATTCCTTCAAAGTGATCCTGTAGTTCAATAATGTCATCAACAATCCAGGTTCTTGGACTGGTGGAGTAGCTCAAGCAGTAGAGTGCTTGCCTAGCAAGGATGAGGCTCTGAGTTCAAACCCACATGCTGCCAAAAAAAGAACAAAACACAATCCAGGTTCTTCTGCTTGTCTTCTCTGTTAACCACGTGTTGGCATAATGCCAAGGCTGATTCTCCTTGTGGTCATCAGATAGCTCCAGCATGGGAGTTAGAATAATGAAAAAGGCCAGAGCTTTGCTCTGATTGGCCAATCATGGTGGCCCCGGCTCTGCTGTACTCTGATTGGTTTAAGCTGAGTTTATATTTAAAAAATAGAAGTCAAACAAACACATTGAGACATTCCTTAGGTATCTTCACATTCAAAGTTCAAGTCTACCATTTTTAGACTCAAGGTCACCAGGTTTCTGGATTTGCATACAATATTATCATTTGGCCATCAGAAGCATCAATAATGCAGCATTTTCCAAAGAACATATTCTCTACATATAGTTTTCTGCTCAACTTTGGCAAGAAGCTGCTGATAAAGAGATGCTTGATATCTTAATGATAGCTATTCAAAACACATGAATCAATGACACTAACATCTCATTCTTTGGAACTTCTTTTATGCATCTCAAGCAATTTAGTAGATGTGTCAAGCAATTTGGAACCTTGCCAGTGCATTGCAATTTTTCTATGTGTATCTCTACCAAAACATAAGATACTTCATTTGTGTGTGTGTTCTTTTCTTTCTTAGTTCTATGAGTCTTGTAGCTGTTGCTTTGCAAGACAATAGGAAAATGAAGTCATTTCTGATGACAAAATTTGCCTTATATTATTATCATTATTAAATCTGTGTTCCACTGCTCAGATTCCATGAGTTTCTCCATGTGTAATAACTTTTTCATTTCAGTGCCAAATCATAGTGCAATCTTTTAGATTTTTATACAGCAATTAAATTTAACTCATGGAGGATATGTAATATAATAACTCAACTAAAAGATCAATGATCTGAGCATCTATGATCACATCGACACATATGCAGGCCATGACAAGAATATCAAACATGCCATCTGGTCAATAGCAATTGTAGGGTATCATTGACCCAATTGAAGAGATGTTAAGCTGGG